GTATATTGACGACGACCCACTTTTGTTTTGTCATCATTATTTTCACAAACAATAATATTAAGACATCAATAAGTAGAGATCTCAATATAAGTGGGTGTGTATTGAGATCTCTACTTTTTGGTTTATTCTAATAAACTAAATTTAAGTAACTTTATTAATAGGTTATCTAGAAAATATAATAATTTTTTTTTATCTAAGTAAAATTAAAATTAAGCAATTTGGTTAGCAGAGTTAAGAAAAATGGTCTCCAAGACCCAATTACAAAGCCCATAATTAAATTAATTTTCCACGGTTAAATGTTAAGTTACAGTGTTTGGGATTGTTTAGCTAAAAAGAAGGATTCCAGTGTTAAATGTGTGCATTTGTAGTAAAATGGTGCTCTTAACTTTTATGTTTTCTTCAATTGGTTCTAGAGAAATTTGGCGACCAACTTTTAAGGAACAACTTTTCAATTGTGTTTATACCAATTTGTTTGGTACCTAAAAATCAATACATATATTGAGTAAAAAACGTTAGATCCTAAATTGTTTTTTGTTGCTTTCTTACTGCTCGTGAAGAGAATCATACGAATTGTGGGCATGGAATATTCCAGACTCTACCTTGGAAAGAAATTTTGAATGTTACGGTGTTTTCATCATGAGTATCTAAACATAAATGTAGTTGCACCATGCGATATACATTAGTGTTATATATGTACATTAGAAAGATGAACCGAATCGTTGACCAAAAAAAAAAAAGAATTAATGATATTCATTTTCTGCTAAGTTGTAGTTAGAATTTACTACTGGAAATGGAAATGATATCTCCCTGCTTGTTTCAACCTGGTCTATTGCTTCCTTGACTATGTATAAAATTCGTGGTTCTATAGTAACATTGATGTGTTGTTCCTAAATTTTACTTTCTTTCATATTTTTTAAGTTACGCTTTGCACTAATCAATTACCAGTCCAGTTTTTCAATAAAAGTTGATCGTTTTTCCTTTTCGATTTTTTTTTGCGCAGAGATATGTCATTTGCTTTGGCAAACACATTTTCTCTTAATTGCCATGTGGTAATGTAATGAATAGCACCTAGCCCTAGAGATGGGGAGGATATCTTCGAAGGTATCTTCCTAGTTCCTCCTACTCTCATTAGCTTCTCATTGCTTTGTAGATCTAGCGTTTAAGAAATGAATACAATTGACGATTTCTGCCAGGCTGTATCCGATTAAAGAAAAAACACTGTCGAGTTGCGGAGAGAGGAACATTTAAACTTACAGAAGTCTAGTTCGTGTTTAAACGTTTAAACACTGCCGAGTGGATATTATATTTTTGACATTTTGCGCAAACACAATAACTAATCTAAGAAATCTAAGAAAAAAACTAATCTTACAATCTAACTAATCTTACCAAAAACACAATAACTAATCTTACCAAAAAAAAAAAAAAAACTAATCTTACAATCTAAGAAAATTATAAACATATAATAATCTTTTGAAATTTAATGATAAAATTTTAATTTTCTTTATTATAAATGGTGCCTTGGTGCTATCACTTTTTGTCATCCCGTACTAGTATTTGTTGTTTATATGACAAATAAAACAAAACCTTTGAAATAGTGGGACGATCCTAATCATGAACGACTTGCCTTTGCATCTCCTAGACGAGATTCTCTTCAAATTAGATCTCAAATCTCTGGCGATGATGCGATGCACGAATTTATTCATCAAATCTCATATATCCGACGATCCAAATTTCGAAAAGGGATATTCTTTTCGAGCCCGATCCGGTTTTATTTACACGTGCGGCCCTTTGGTCTTCTACAAGCCTTCCGTCTCTTCATGCGATTCTATGTCACAGCTAAGATGTTTGTTTCCTGTGTATCCATACTGTTACATTCTCGGCTCGTGTTCCGGCCATCTCCTATTATACAGGCGTGGCCTCTTCGTAGTGATGAATCCCGTCACAAAGATGTTTCGACACTTGGATCACTCTGGATCAACGCTTTTGGCTACAATAATTGGTAGCAAAAAGGTTAATACAGAGAGAGCTATGTGCGTTGGTTTTGCTGTAGATCGAAGTAGAACCACCAAGAGATTCAAGATCGTCTGCGTACTTGAAAATCATACCAAGTATGCGTTTGAGGTCAACGATGGAGATACGTGGAGATTATCGGAAACGACCATCACCACCAACTCAAAAAGTGATCTCACAAAGCGAATGAAACCTGTTTACTTGGAAGGCACTCTACACTGGTTGAGAAACGACGGAAGCATCATAGCTTTCAATCCTGTGACAGAGCAAGCACGCTTTATTCCCTCCATATTCCATCCCAAACCATCGACGAAACTGTTTTTCGCGTCCGACGATAAGATCAATCGCCTGACCTTAATATCCGGGACAAAAGAAGCAATCTCGGTTTACACACTAGTCGAGGGTACCAAGTGGGCCCTCGCCAGAAAGATCAAGAACGTACCTATGACGGAAAATGAACTCGAATTTTGGAACGTGGTTGCATACGATGGCAAGCATTTGGTGGTGAAAGATAAAGGAAAGGCTAGTATATTTGGTGTGGCTCATGTGTACGACATGGAAGCTAACAGTTGGGGAGCTTTGTGGTCAACCCGATGTAAGGCAAATTACAACGACCTAGACTTCTGTAAGTTTAAACCTTTCTTTTCCTTTTTCGAGCATACCACAAAGGTAGCTTCTAAGGACTTGCCCATATGTAGAATCATTCGACTCCTTGATACAACCGAGTAAACTAATTAATGGCGATGAATTTTCGAAAATTATGTATATTTCCTTTTCTTAAATTTATAAATAACATTTTTGCTAAGTCGTCGAAATGTATTTTCTTATACGGTATCAATCAAATAATTATATATTTGAATTTCGATAGAAAAAAATTATACTACAGAATTACGAGACTCATTGATACAACCGAGTCAAATGTCCTGATTTGTAAGAGAATGTTCGTATCCCATGTAGTTTAAGTATTTGGAGTCGATATTTAATATATAAGATTGTTTTGGAAAAAAAAAATATCCAAATGTAATCTCCTCATGGACAATGATCATACATATCAATTGCAATTTTAATAGCGGACTTGGCCCCGCTGATGCATTTCCCTGTCGACCTGGTGGTTTTAACGGTATGCCTGATCCATTTGGTATGGGTCCAAGACCCTTTGGACCGTACGGACCGAGGTTTGGTGGTGATTTCAGCGGACCTGTACCTGGGATGATGTTTAGCCTCGGTTAAGCGTCCCTTAGAAAAGATTCGATCTATGTATAAGAGATTTTCTTTTTGAAAATTGATAGTTGACTTATGTCTGGATATAATAAAATCCTTGTTCATGGACCGTTTGATTTCATTTATGTTCTTTAATTCTGTAATTTTGAAGATTGTTAAAAACATGAAAAAGGTTAGTGAACGGATATGAATATAATACGGTTATGGTTGCAAGTTGTAACCACAGGGTTTATATGAAGCTAAATTATCACAAATTTTTTCAAAAATCAGGAGATCGCAACGAGCATTAACCCATGAGAGGGAAATGTAATTGAATTGTCTCAGAATACAACCTCAGAAATGTTCTATCTGCACCAACAAAAAGCACTATAGCTCAAAGGAAAATTCTTTTCAACAAAATAGAATTCTCTGTACTAAAAGAAATTATATATTTAGAAACTGTAAGAAAATGTATATAGAGGAGAGATCTATAGAGAAAGGAAAAAAATAAAACTGATCTTGAAGAGTAGGGCTCTTTGATGTTCTTCTTGGTGGGTATAAAATGAGATTGAAACTATGTGAACAAAGTTACAACATCTCTGTGATACCCTCTCACAATCAACATCCTCGGGACATTTTCAACCAACAAATCCATATATTCCATATAGAAATACGCCGGGTGGTTCAACGGAGGCGGCGGGAGACTAACCAGAACCACCGCGGCCATCCTCGAGTAACTGAGTATGGTCGAGTTCAGTTTCAGCATTGTGTATAGAAACTTCTCCACTTGTTGCTCATTCACCACCATTTTTTTCCCATTAGCAAGCAACGGAGTCGAACCTTGTCTCTTGATCTCTCCTAAGTAATCTGAGATTCGTCTCTGTGCGGCGTCGAAAGCTTCCAATGAATCTTCTTGGCTGTTCCCTTCGGATCTTATGTCCCATGATTTCATCGTGACCACGATTACTTCGGCTTGCATTCTGAGATCGTAGAGGAACTTCTTCACGTCGGCTTTGAGTGCTTCCGCGTCTGAATCCTCTTCAGCTATGCAGAAGAGTTGGATTTTGCAGCTTTCAAAGCTTTCTTTTGTGAGAAGAAGCTGTGAGAGAAGAAGCATGAGACCACCGTCTCGCACAATCCAGTACAAGTCGATTGTTCCGTACTGTGTCTGGTACTCGTTTGGCCATTCGTCTAACCCTTTGATAATGACAACTGCTTTGTTCGCTGTTATGCAGTCATTGATTATCCCAACAAATGTGGATGGAATCTCTGTTAGATTTTCTCGGCGCCAGATCTCAGGGTATCGCATTACCACAATGTTGGGTTTGAGATTTCCAAGTCCCATCGTCTGGATGATCCCACGAAACCCTTCGGTCATGTTTGGAGCTACAACGATTTCAGCTACACCTTCACAACGCTTATACTCGATGTATGTGGCTAGTTGTTTGCAGGCTTCCTTTGCTTCTTCTGCACATTCATAGTAGTCACCATCTAATATCGAGACAAAGATTGACATTCCGCGTCCTTTTTTCTTCATACAGTTAGCAAAATCAGCCAGCTTAGGGTGGCATGGAACATTTTCCGGGAGCTGTCCCCATGGTCTGCAGAAAACAAGGGGAATTGGATACCAATTCTTGGGGTGCACTTGATTTGCTGCAATTAGGGAGAAAAAATCTTAAATACATGGACCATCTAATATTGAACCAAAGATATAAGGCAGGTTTGGCGTAATGGCACATAGAGAATGTATATTATATGATCCGTTGGTTACAGGTTTATGTGGCATTACCTCCGAGTGACCTGAGACTACGAAGGGCCAACTGAAAATATGCACTCTTGAAACCATCCCCCCAATCCCCGGCCTTTCCTTTTAGGCCAACGTATTTGTATATAAGACTTGCAAGTGCAATGGCAACCACAGTGAATGACCAAGAAATCAAGAACATAATCACTGCAACAGAAAAGAAAAGATATCAACGAGTCTTTACAACAAGACAAATCAAGCTTCAGGTGAGATAAATCTCAGGAATCAATTATAGGATTCATGTTGTAGGAATGAACTACATAGGAAGACTGTACGAAATACGCTTTCTCTAGTGAGTATGTGAAAATTCATACCTATGCAAAGTGAGGCTCCAACAAAGGAAAGGCTCCAATGATGATATTTCCACCGTGGACGCCAACTTGGAGCATCAAGAAGATCAAGCAGGAAACAAGACAAGTTTACTCCCGCATAGCATAAAAGATAAAACATAGTCACAGTTGGTGTGATAAGATCCAGATTTCCGATGACAACACATCCGATGCAGATCAATGCTGTGAAAAGCGTCGCTATGTGAGGTTCACTAGTATCTGCAACTTTAAAATAATTTAGGATCGGGAGAATATCATCATTTGCTATAGCCGCAAGTAACCGTGGGGCTCCTGTCAAACTCTGAAGAGCAGCCCCTAATGTTGAAAGGATGATTCCAACGTGAACAATGAAAGGATAAGGCCAAGCAATTGTAGCAGTAAGTAGCCTGCAATAGAGCAAATGATTTATTGCATGAATAAAAAAAAGTTCATGATATAAAGAGCTAGGTGTTGAAATGCTAAAAGAACAAGTCTCTGAGAGCAGTATCAGACATGGAAAAACTATTCCGACATATAGACTAAGAAATGTAGTTTTTGCAGTTCCCTAGTAGTTAATTATAAGCAGAACATGAAGCCGTTTTTTTAGTTTCTTTCAAATTTATCCATGCAAAAGACAAGGCAAATGATAAGTGAGTTTTTGAATTTCCTCCAGGACACTGCTGCCTAACAAAACACAACAGGACAGTTGTGAAACAGAAAAAAGAAACCACACGAGGAGTAATGTCATTACCTATCAGTCAAAAGTTTGTCACGGGTTGCAACAGCTCCAAAAAACAGCACAGAGATCAGATACAGTGAGGTTGTAGCCAGAGTGGCAGCCAAAGTTCCAACAGGAATTGATCTTTGTGTGTCTTTCAGTGAAGCTGATCGATTTGAACCAGCCATAATTCCTGTTACAGCCGGGAAAAATAGACCCACCAACTCACTGAAAAAAAAAGTAAAGAGCAGGTAAATAAATTTCAGAGTAAAAACTGAACAGATAAATTATTTAATAACTTAAAACCAAAAGTTGATTTTTTCTATCATAGGCAACACAGTTTCTGGAAGCGACTCACTTGAAACTCCAGTACGTGCTTCCAGTTGGATCAGGAATTCCCGCATTATTTGTCATCTGATAAGCAGAACCCCAGTTATCTTTAAAACTTTTTAAACGCAAGCCCGTAATTCCAGCTGTTCAAATCATAAGAAGGGAGCAAAAGGAAGGTCAACAATTTGGGAGGGAAAAATAAACTACATGCTTTTTCCCAACAATGCCCAGAAACAACTTACTGTCAGGATTGTCTGTCTTTGCCACAAATATCCCGATGAAGATGCAGAAGATGGAGATCAAAACGGGAAAGAGGAAAGCAGGTGCAACCCGATTGATCATCTTCACGCCGCCAAACACAATGAAGCATAGAAGGATAGTCACAACAATTCCATAAATCTGCAAGTCATGTGAGTTTGGACTTTGTATTGATTCGGCAACTGCTGTTCCATTAACCTTTGTGACAGTTTCTGCCATTACAAATGAAACGCAGCTAAATTACTAATCGCAACTTGTAGGCTATTGATTACTTCCTCAGGGAAATCAAGTAAATTTTTTGTTAAATAAAACTCGGAAGTTGGGTGATCAATCATAAAGTCCTTTGTTTGGTGAAAATCTCATATACGCTAGCCACTTCCAACATATTGATGAAAGAAGCCTCGGGCATAAAGACTAGCATGATTAAGTGGTGACTTACAGAAGAATAACACAGGACAAAAAAACAGGCAAGTTCTACAGTAATACCTCTAAAAATCCCAGCAGCAGGGAAAGCTTTTAGAAAAGTCTCCACAGCACCCAAAACGTACCTGCAATGATAAGGAGGAAAGCAGATAAAGCTATAAGAAGCACTTGGAGACCACGTGAAATTGAAGCAACTTAAAGCAATGAGTCTCCAAAGGAGTTTCCTTGAAAGGATCCAGGATTTACACTTACAGAGCTCCAGCAACTGCATTGCCAAGGAAGAAGCATAAACCTATGCTAATCCCAACCTCCGGACCAAGAGCGCGACCAATGAGGTAATATGGTCCTCCACCCTGGAAGTTACGCAGAAGTTATTACAGAATAAACTTGATATCCTAATTATTGTTCAATCACAAGAGAAAGAGAAATATAACAAGGCTGCCAATTATGGACCAGAGACATAACGGAAGGAGAAATATCTTTAACTATGGTTACACAGATTTATTCCACGAAAACTCAGTTGATATTACAGAAGAAAGAATTACCTTCATTGCACCATTTGTTGCAATAGCACTCAAAGATATTGTCGTCAAGAATGTACATATGCCACAGAGCAATACCAATACTAGACCTTGTCCGATACCAGCCATGCCAACAATCCTGAAAATTTAACCGATTAAGGCAGGCCATGATGACTTTGCAGTCTGCTGTGCAATATCAAGGTCTTTGCAGTCTTACCATGTAAAACGGATATAGTATATAATTCCTAATATGTTTTGCAAGCAGGGAACGAAAACTCCCATCATTGTACCCATCTTGAGAGCAGAGGGCTGTAAAAAGATGCAGATAAAGTAAGATCGTGGAAACCATAAATGCAGCAATAGATTATGCCTCTCTTAAAAAGATCCTTACGGAAACAATGAAAAAACACCACCAGACTAGAATACCTAAGAAAACCTTACTTTTGCATGCACCATAATAGACAGAGTCAACAACAGAACAATGAAGGAAATTTTCAGACAAAGTAAAACCATCTAATCATCAGGAAACAATGACTGCCAAACAGAAAGTAGCAAACAAATCACATAAAGGAAGGCAATCTCTGCAATGCTCAGTCCAAGAAATGTCCACCCATCTTAAGTTCAGAAGTGTTTGGAAGCGTTTCCAAACAAATAAGGAGAGAAAAGTGGCGGAGACAATGGGTAATTCTAGTGCATCACATTTGAACTCCTGATGTGCCACTGCATCACCAGTGTTGGAGAGGTATTAACTTTTAAGTTATTTTCGGATTTTCCCTACAATCTCTTATATACCTCTCTTGACTAAGCCTGATGTGACTTGACAGCTAATTTCAAGAACTCTTGATCGGAACAGCCTAGCAGAAATCATCAATTTTATATTTATAAAAGCAGTGGGAAGCTTATAGGAATAGGAAGATACCTTTGGGTGCCCTTGCGTGATAGAAATATCCTCCCCATCTCTAGGGCTAGATGGTGTTGGAATTTGCTCCCCTGTCATACTAAAAGAGAAATTCATTACATTACTAAATGTACAATTCAGAGAATATATGTTTCCCAAAGCAATGACATATATCCTGGGCAAGTAAAACTTGAAAATGGGAAAATATCAACTTTCATTGAAAAACTGAACTGTTGAATTGATTAAGCGTAAAGCTTAATTTAAGGTAAAATATGGCATTTCCAGAGTATGAAAGTGTGCTCCACTATTTTATATGTAAAAATATACAAATACTAGTAAATAATCACAAAGAAAACACAAACTGATAGAACTCACATCAATATTACTATAGAAACATGAATTTATACATAGTCAGGGGAAACAATATACCAAAACTTCATCGAGTATGCTATCCATTGATTCAGCTCAGACAAAAAAAAAAACAATCGTGATTAACAAAAGCAAGAAATGGTAGCAAGAAGTCATTTTTAATAGTGTCTAACTACCACTTAATGCAGTAAATACACCCCAACTCATCTTTCTAATTTGCATTTCTAAATGTAAATAACAATGAAGATCGCATGTACCTCTTCAAACCAAGAATGTTGACAAGAGAATCGAAACCAAATAATTCCAGCTTGGATTCCTTCTGATGTCCATTGACTCCATCTTCTGGTCTTGGCCCTTCCCTTGCATTGACACCCGCATCTCCTGGTGCAACTACTTTTATGTTCCTGTCAAAAACCTACAAATGTTAGAAACTCATAATGAAAACACTTAAACATTCAATACTTCTTCCCAATGTAGAAATTCGAATATTCCGCGCCCACAATTCTTTACATTAGAAGATCACCTTGGATGAATCACTTTACGAGCAGCAAGAAAGCAACCAAATAATAAATTCTCTCTTAGACTTATGAAATCCATCTACCAATGTGATCAACTTTAGCCACAACTAGTGATTGAGGCAAATGGTAAATAAAGCAAAAATGTAATGTGGAATCTTATTGAGCAAAAGGTCACTTTCGACATTCAATTTGTCAGCGAACCTTACAGCAGAAATTAGAGCTTTAAGAAACGAATTCTACGGGTTCACTAGGGAACTATGCAAAGAAAAAAATCCCAACAAACTCGCATCCTGAAAATCATAGCAACAAACCAAATTGCATCCCATTTCTACTGATCAGTAACACAAATAATCATCAACACTTCAGGAACGTGATCAGTACACAGACAAGATTAAGCTAAGACCATACAAAATCGAAGTTCCCAAAAATCAGTGACGAATTTACACAATAGGAAAAGGGACCTAATAAGAAATTACTTGAGGGTGGAAGATGAAGGAGATCCAGGATCGATGGAGGACATTTCAACAACCGCTCTATCGTGAGCCACCACCGGTCTGTATTTTCCTCCGCCGATACGAGGTCCTGACCGGAATTCCTCTTCGCCATTACCTCCGGCTTCTTCAATGTCGCCGCTATCCATTTCTCTCCGCCGTATCTGAACAGATCCCTTGCTCTTCGTTTCAACAATGAGAAGGATTTCTCGACGGAATCAGAGATCGGAGAATTTGAAATCTGACGAGAACGGAGATCGAGAACTCGACGACGAATCAACGG